GCCGCCCGGTTTTCCTTAGATACCATGCTTCTGAGGTCTCTCTCTCTCTCTGGCTGAGGTATCAGAAAATTAACTTTTAATTTTCTCTAGGACACTATAGTGTTCTGATTAGACACTAACCAATTTGAGGGCAAACAGGTCTTGAAGTATAGTGTAGTGGTCTGGCTAGAGCCTGGTGTAGGAGTCAATAAAGCTACAATTTTTATGATCGAATCCCTCCCATTTGGCATGATACTGTGAGTCACATAGGCCTTCCTAGCCCAATAATTTTGGTCAAACTACTTGGCAACATTGAGCCTCAGATGCATCATCTGTGAATGGGATTCTGTTGCCATATGGAGAAAAATCTTCTGAAAATTCTAAATAAAAGTTTGAACTAACTCTTCCCCAAAAGGGGAGGGGTGACTTGGATCACTCTCCATTGATACTCCAGGTCTTCCAAGAGGATCCAGCACTTTTGAAGGGTCTACGGTTGTACATGAGTTCAGTATGTGTTCGAAGGTTCATCATCGGACCTTTTGGTTTAAGCTAAGAGCTTCTAGATTCCTCCACAAAGAGACAACAAAGCAAAGGCACAGATATCAGCTCACACTTAAAACGTGGCTTGACATTCCAGAGTCCCCTGGGAAAAGGTAACTATGGGGAAAAGTCCATTTGCTTAACGTGCGCAATTGTCAACAGAGATTGCTATACCTCTGTAGGAATTTTTAAAATAATCTTTTGATTGAAATGAGAGGTTCTTTCCCTTGCTCCCATGAAAATATTTGATTTCCTTTATAAGATTAAAGAGGCAGCTGTCTTAATGTTCATTCAACTTTAGGATAATCACAGAGGTTTCATGAATGTGCAATGTTAGTTACACAAATGTGAAATGGATCTGTGATGAGGATAGTGGGTACATGAAATAACAGACTCCCAAAGACCTTAGCTTTCCTTCTAGAACATTAGCAAACAGTTCAGAACTAATATAGCACACCATGCAATTTGCCAAATCACTACACTAGCCTGATGATTTTTCTCACCTGATTATATAAAACCTAATTAGTTAAAGGGCAATTCAAAGGAAACTTATATTCGAGGGATTTAGAAGTATTAAAGCAGAGGGAAAAACACAAGCAAACACTGCAGTTCTCTGGATAGCATGACCATGATGAATAAAAACCCTTGGGTGGGAAAATGATTAACCTTGTGATCTTCCTCACAATCCAGGTTTCTACAGGAAACTGATCCTGAATAAAAATGCCTGGATGCTGTATGGAAAACATCTCGTACCAGGTCTCCAACTGGCATCAAATGTTTCCCAGTGTGAAAACCTTTCTGGACCTTCGCAACAGGCTGGTGGATCCCTGCAGGTAGCACTTCCCTTGTTTATTAGTCCTGCCAATTAAATCAAATTAGAGATGAATTTTTAACTCTGTGATGAAGGCAATGTTCATTATAAGAGAGCACAGGGAAATGAAATTGTTCCCTCAAGTGAACTACTATTGAAAATTGAGTAAGTCGGGGACTTGGGGAGGGCCAACCAAGTACCTTCGTCCGTAGTTGGGTATGTGCCATGGTATCATGTCAGTCATTTGAAAGTGGCTCAAGGGGATTATCTACAGCAACGTTCACAGAGTGCATGCACCTTACTTTTCTTTTTGTTACTACTCTGAAAGGTGTTTTATTTATTTAAGAATTCCGAGTTTTTGGAGATAATCTCTCTGGAGGTTATTCTTCCCTTCAGCAGCTGGTCTGTCTCTCTTTCTGACTCATCGGCTACCTGCTTTATCAAGAAACAATCATCACCCCCATGGAGCTGTTTGCCCAACAGGCCAGGCCTCACTGGTCAAATGATGCCCTTGATAATGTATGGTCTGATAGAATTAGAGGAAGTACTTGTTTTTCAGGACCAAGGATCAGCTCATGTCGGTTGGACGGGAATGATTAATTTATCACTTTAACAAAAACACCCATGCCAAACCATCAATTTGGGTCATCAGCATCAACAAATGTGCACTTGGATAAAATTATGAACGTATACTTAAAAATTCATGATGCATTTTGTTTTTTAAAAAAAGGAGAAGAAGAAGAAAAGGAAAAGAAGAAAAAGGAGAATAAAACAGAATGAATTATTTCCACCTCCGGTGAAGTAACACACAGATCGTGAAGGCACAAATGGCCACAGATCTATTTTGGAATTCATTAATTTCTGACAATATCACCAGGTTTTGTTTGTTTGTTTTGTTTTGTTTTTCAGCCATGACTAAAGCATGTGGAAATAGCCAAGTTTAAAATCCAGTACCCTTTGTATGACTGGGAGGCCTACTTCCTAATAGATAGACAGCAGCAGGCACAAACGACCTTAACGGGAAATTTGTTTCAGGAACATTTTTAGCAGATGATTGGAAAGGACGAGCATTCTGTCCATGCACTTGAACCTTAATGCAGGCGTTGACTATTTGAAGTCTATTGAGATCTCTTAGGGCTCCAGGCCCTACCGGTCCTCTCTGCATACGGTATATGTATGTGAGTTTATGGTTGCGTGCATCAATAATTTACATTTATAACATCCATCATTTATTTTCCTGGAGATACCCTTTGGTGATCAGAGTCTCTTGGGAGTCATATCTATTTATAATGGTATTTTCCTTCCAGTCTTGGTGGAATTAGCTCATCGATTCCTTCTTTGAAGTAAAGAGAAAAAAGCCCTGGCAAACATCCCAACTGAGTTAAAATCCAAGTGGCCCCTTCTTCTCTGGCTTGCACCTTGACAACCCCACTCCTGCACTCTCCAGAAAAGGCAGCCAGTCATCTGTCTGAATTCTTGCCCTCTGACAGGACAGGCACCTGCCAGTGCGCGTAGCAAACACCTTCTGAGTCCACAGAGAAGGAACGTGCAATGCCATCAAAGCAGCCTAGCAGAGACAATCACGTTTGCCCTTCTTAACGTAAAGCTCTGTGCCTTAGAGCCAGGCAACAGGCAAACGAGCCAGGTGGGATGCTGGGTGACTGTGGAAGCTCCTCTTACATCCTGCTGGCTTAGGCTCTGAGGGAACAACCCTTGTGCTCCAAACAGAGCGCCCAGAGGCATGGTGAAGCTATCCTCCAAACCTTCACATTTTGTTTGCTTCTTCTTTTTTTGGTGAGTTATTAGGAATTAAATTTCCTTAGGTTCCTGATAATCAAGGTTAGTACATTTTCCAAAGGCACAACAAAGCATCCTTTCAGGTCACCACTGATTTAAAAAGAAAACAAAACAATGCTGGCATTTCCCGATCAAGTGTGTAAAAGGTCAACATCTGCTGATGCTCAGAGGTGGGGAATGTTGTGGAGGCGGCTGGATGAGATGTTGAGTGAGCCTTACAGTCAGAGCGTTCATGCAACACACAACTGACACTGGGAAACAGAAACACAGCCCAACACCAGAGAACTGCTTTCCCATCTATCCATTTCTGAGACCTGGGCCAGGCTGGATCACCAGAGCAGCCACAATCATCTCTCCCAGCTAGCTTCTAGTTTGGTCCCCTTTGGCTCTGAAGTGCATGTGCCAAAAGCACCTGTCCAGGCCTGAAAGATGCACATGTGAGGGATATGTACAGTTAGGGAAATGTCAAGATACTAAAAGTAGAACAATTAGACTCCTATCGGTGAAGGGTTTTATTTGCAAGTGGGTAGCACTGGTGTTCTTTCAACACCACCAGAAAGAGGCTGCTGCGGCATGGGACTGGTAGCTAACTATATATGAAACACAACTTCTATTAAGAAAGGGGCTGGCTTTCATGGCAGTTAATGCAACCAGGGTTTGATGTATCAGTGTCTGGGCCCATTCACAAGCTTACGGAAACTGGGCTGATTTATACATCAGAAGACCTGACTGTGCACTTATAAGAAGCGAGAAGCTGTGTTATCCAAATTACTCACGTATTGCTTTTTGGATGGATGTTGGGCATTATAATTCTTCAGCTGCGGCTCTTTCCACGGTGATCGCCCCATGTATCACAGCCCTGAGGCCAAAGGGAAAATCTTCCCTCTGTTTTCCAGTGCGTTAGTCTCAATACTTCATTTCTTATCAGTTATGTAGCAACGATTCAAAGGTTTTAGCCAATGAATAGAAAAGGTGCAACATATGAAAATATGTACACTGCTGCTCAGAAAAGCAGTTAGGCATTTTTAAAATAAGAACTTCAAGCTTGGTGCTAGGTTTCCACCCTCTGAAAGGGAGGATGGAGCTGTCGTCTGAGGCCCCCATGACAGCTGGACAATCTTTGCAGTGGCACTGCGGGAAAGATGAGGCCATAGAACACGGAAGAGCCCCTTCCCTTTCGGTTGCTTGTATGCCTAACGAAAACATCCCTCACAACAGTTTCTAGTGCTCTGGCTATTCAATTCGATTCATGTTTACCCTCCTTCAAACCACAACTTCAGCTGTCTGAAAAAAGAAAAAGAAAAAACAAATCGATCCCCACATCTTGGAAGGGAAAAATGGAAGTCCTGACTCCGCTTTCCTTCTTTCACCCAGAAAGAGTAATGATCACAAATCCGCATCTTTCAGGCCTGCACAAAGCCGACAGTTTCAATGCATGAGCAATGTTCTTCCTCCCGGCTTTCTCGATGGGTTTCTCGACTTCTAATGAATATGCCCAAGGCATTCATTGGCATTCATTGTCTGTGTTGCAAAATTATGTTAGAAATCCATATTTGGTCCTACGGAGAGAGTTCCATTTGTTTCTTGGTTACCAAGTATGGATAAATAGGACTGTTTATAGTTTTGTTAAATGAGCTTTGGCTTCCTAAGTCAATGCACCTCGGCACAGGTGGCCTCCGTGGACCAAACGATGTCAGGTGAACTGCGGCTGTGTGCTGGCCACAGAGGAGTCAGGCACAGCTATGTCATCTGGGCAGTGCGACAAAGAGAATGCCCTCTGACACCAGAAATGGACACTGGGAAAATAGATCTGAGGGGCTGGACAGGAAAGCAAAGCTAGTCTATTCTTGGTTTTGTTTGTTTGTTTACTTACTACCAATACTGGAAATACTGGGGATACCTGGAGAGAAAGAGAACAAGAAAGACAAGCTGTTAGCTATTTAATAGTACATGATTAGACATCTCTAACTTACTATAAACATAATGACAATATTCAGACTATTTGGAATTAGCATATCGAAAAGCACCCTCGTCCCCCCGCCCCCTTTCATTCTAGAGCATGGAAGGATGTCAGAAGCTAATGCTTAACTTCAACAGCTGACCCAAAATAGCGGTATGGCATCAACCACGTTGTGCTTGTCTATCGGTTACTGACGAGTTGTATGTGGCCCAATGGAGATCTTGAGTTATACTTATGTTGTAGATGCATCTTAAATACTGTGTGTCGCTGTACCTGCATAGCCACAGAAGCAATAGCTAATTTGAATGGCTTATGCGACACATGCATTAGCTGTTGAAAACCATCTGGCGCTTTATTTGATTAATTTCATATAACCATCACTTTTATTCCTCTTTTACTTGTCAAATACCTGAATTAACAGAAACCTCCTTGAGCATAATAATTCTAGACTATATTAGGTTGCTCATATTGATCATGATCTTGCTGCATTTTTCTGTTTGGGCTAGGACTCACAAGATAAGAGGGTGGAAGCAGCTCAGAATCCAACTGGGCTGGCATACCTGAGGACATGAACTTAGGCTGTCTCCTGATTAAAATGCTTAGTCAGGCAGTTCAGTGCTGCGGACAAGAGCAGAGTCTGGGAGGCAAGGTGTTTGGGTACGAAGCTTGGTCAGGACGGACACTAAAGGACTGTGAATAAGTTACTCCACCTATCAGTCCTGGCCACCTATCAGTTAAGGTTGTTGGGAGGGTTAAATAAACTGATATGTGTAAAGCACATAGAGCAGCGGTTCCCAACCTGTGAGGTGCGACCCCTTTGGGGGTGGAATGACCCTTTCACAGGGGTTCCCCAATTCATAACAATGGCAAAATTACAGTTAGGAAGTAGCAATGAAAATAATTTTATGGTTGGGGCTCACCACAACATGAGGGACTGGACTGTATGAAAGGGTTGCGGTGTTAGGAAGTTTGAGAACCACTGTCTTAGAGCATTGCTTGACATCGAAGATGTGTTATATCCATCTTTATTATGACGATAATTACTGGTCCAGCAAGCAATCCCCGGACATCTAATACTAACTGAAAGTCAGAAACTTGAATCGTCCCCAGATGGGACCCGGATAGATGGCTTGGACTCCTGCTTGGCTGATGACTAGCTGGGTGATTTCAGCCAGCCAGTTCCTTAACTTCTCCAAACCTGTTTCCTATTCTGAACAGGGACCAATAATATCTACCACCTAGGGTTCCTGTGATGATTGACTGAGATGATCTATAATCATGTCTGCCACATGGACCAGTCTCAATAAATGATACTTGTTAATGAATTGTACAGACTTAATCGCTATAGTGTGCTAACAGGTGACAACTGCAGGAATCATTCAGCTTCTATTTTAGTCTTTATCTGTGAATAAATGCCCTCTGCTTATTTTTACCCATCTTTGTAATGTGCACAGTGGTTTCTAGTTTTGTATCCTCTGAGACCAAGAGCTATTTTCCTATTTCTTTCAGGAAAGGAAGAAGAGGAATTCAAGCTAACTTTGATTTTTTGGGAAGGAATGAAATCTTATTTTCAGTTATTTGATATATTAGATATAGTGCTTGTGCTTAATTTCTGATAATTGATCAATCAAAAGGAGAAATCTATATTTCCCATTTATGTTTCAACTCTATCCAAAGTCCTGAAAATCAAGCTGAAAACCACTCTGGAAAAAAGACTGCTGAATTCTTAACCTGACACCTCATTAAACATTTTTTGTAGGGTGACAATTACTTGATGCCGAATCTGTTTGGATTTTTTTATTCTCTCTGAAAATCCTCTCTTGAGCGTGGCATTTTGGCAGCATCATAATTTTAGAACCAATTGCACAAGTTCCAAATTCTCCATGATTGAAAACCCTGCTCCATTGCAAGGTGCTGCTAACCTTTCACCATCTGTCAAAGAGAATGGAAGTATGGATGGCAAGAAGAGACTTTTCATGTGTTTTCAAACCTGCATAGAGTTAGGGGCCATGCATAATGCAAGGCCAAGTTCTCAGTGTTTGCCTAGACACAGCAGAGAGCAAATCCTTAAGACTGTTTGATGCTGTGCTTGCTGCAGGTGAATGCTTTAGGAAGGCACAGAAGTATTTCCAGTCCTTTGGGGATACCATTGCAGGGAACAAATGTTCAAGCAGCCCTCCAAGCCTCACCCGGTAAGGCTAATATGAAAGCTTATTTTCTTCACAAAAAATGTTTTCTATTACTTAATATTTGGGTGCTCAAAATTCCACCTCTTCTACATTTTTGTAGCTTACATTTTTATTTCTTAGGTGCTTCCAGATAAATTGCTATCTATTCCACTGTTACAAAATAGGAATTGCTCAGGAAAAACAAAACAACAACAAAAACACCCAAAACAAAACTCATCTGAGGAAAGACTTTAAAGTTGAAAACACATGAATAATAAGAGTTTCCCATCAATAGAGTTTCAAATATGCTTTTTGTTTCCTCCCAATGTTTCCTATGGAGGTGGTTGTCTACAGACAACTGCACAATTGGGTAAACCCATCACCCCCATTAAGAAGGCTATGAGTCAGTCGTGAGAAACCCCACAAAAGGAAATAAGGCCTAGAAATGAATTGTAATAGCTCATTTCAGGAAAATTGGTTTTTATCTGGATTTGGTAAGGCATGAATCAATGAATGTTATTCCATCTTTCCACAGTAACTGTGCTCATGAGCCATCAGAATAAATGTCACATTGTGCCCAAGAAAAGTACCTCGGCACCTTGTGAATAGTTGTGTATGTGTTTAACATTCACTGTGATGTAAAAATCATTACATCAAGCCAATTTTTATCTTTAGAACTAAGCTCAAAGGTAATTTCTTCCTGCCTTCTGCATTTTATCAATGTGAATTAGCCACCGTCTCTCTGTGATCACCCAGGAATTGTACAGAATCTCCAACTTTCTTTTCTAACTGTCTCTGTGTTTTCCCGAGAGTTCTGAGTGAGCAAGCAGGTTTCCAGGGCAATGACTGACACAGAAGAGCAGCCTTGGGTAGTGAAAACAGTTAATACACGAGGCTTCTAACCTAAAGGTGGAAAGTTTGAGCTTATCCAGAGGCCTCTTGGGAGAAAGAGTGTCAATGGACTTCCAAAATAGCAGTCATCGAAAAGCCCGTGGAATATAGTCCTCCTCTGATCCCCTAGTTGAGTTGGAATCAACTCAAAGACAAATGGTAGGTGTGTAGTTCAGCCTCAAAGTAGAGCTTGTTTCCATCATAAAGAAAAGACCACATCATGTCCCCTGATAATGTATTTCTCAGAGGTTAGGATTAATAGATATTTTTGTTCTCTCAGGAATCTAGTCCATTTTGTGCATTTGAACAACAACAATTATACTATGTTCCCTCACTGTTCCTGGAGAAAACCTGGATTCTCAACTGCGGCAACTCTTTTCCCTAGTAAGGCTGGACTTATTTTCTTTGTTGCTCCCTTTCTCAATTCTTTTTTCTTACTTCCTGGATAGGTCCTTTTTTTGTATACGTCCTTTTACTAAGCTACTCAGGGGCAGATCAAGTTTGTGGACCTAAAGTGTATAGAAGTCGGAGGGTTCTCCTTAAGAAAACTAGCCCCAAAGTAATACACAAAAGTGGATATGAAAGTTACTTTCTTTAATGCAGAAGGAGTCCCATCAAGACCACTTCTAAAACAATGTCAAAACTCTTTGGGAAATGCAAAGAGGATGAAAGGCAGAGAGAGGCGCGAAGGAAGGAAGACATCAGGTTCTCTAACTTTGAAAGAGTGGTAAAAAAGTGAGAGCTGAGGACTTACTAAATCACCTTCTTTAGCTCTTTTGGGTTACAGAAGAGGAATCTGAAAGAACACAGAGAAGTAAGTGCTTGTCCAAGTCAATCCCTTACTTCAACCCCAGAGCCTGGAGAAATCACCCCTTGTTTACTGAGAGGTTGCTCAACTTACCCTGAGGAAATGAAGCAAAGGCTCACATGCACTTTAGCTGGCCATTTGGCAATATACAGAAAATGGTTGGATGAGGCGTGCTAGAAGAATAGAAAAGTCTCTCAAAAGACTCCTGGTGCCATCACATACAACAAAAATGAAAAGGCCTTTGACTTGTAGATGTTTTCAGTTACTCTTCTTTCAGCTGAATTCCTCTAACCTCAATCATATTTGTTTTAACATTTGTTCTAAAGGAATTCTGTGACAATTAGATGGATGAGAAGCTAGCAGAATTATATAATGCACTATTTCTTTTTTCCTTCTTCCTTATCTTTCCCCCCCCTATATTACTAACTTTTCGACTAAATCAATGGTTAGAGCTGAGCTTAGGAAAGTCAACATGATGGAGATGTCAAAAACAAACATCCCAATCTTCAGAAATAGATGAATGTCCAACTAAAAGCTATAACTCATTTTAGAATCAATAGAAGGGTTAGCAGGATTTCACTAAGAAAGATGCAGGAGGGATAAGACTTCAACATGCAGGAAATTGGGGAAATGACCCTGTTGTGATAGCTTGAAAAAGGCTCTAGCGGGCCTGTGGTTTAGGTGATGGGCTGATATCATCAAGGTTGGTTGTTCAAACCCACTATCTGCTCCAAGGGAGAAAGATGAGGCTATCTACTCTTATAAATACTTACAGTCTCAGGAACCCTATATGGGTGCACTATGAGTCAAATAATATCCATACTATTAGGAAATAGAAATAATACAACTCTTATTTCAATTTATACACAAACTGCTAAAGATGGTAAAGGAGAAAATGAAGGTTTCTACCAACATCCTAAGTCTGAAATTGATCAACATGCAAGCATAATACATTGATAATTACTGATTATTGGAATGCAAAAGTTGGTAACAAAGATGAAGGAACATTAGTTGGAAAATGTGGCATCGGGAATGGAAATGAAGCCAGAGATTGCATAATAGAATTTTGCAAG